CATCTGCTGCAAAGAATTTATTCACAATGGATTTCCAGTCTCCGGACTAAACAATTTGGCAAAATATACACATAGCCTACATGTCATAGCCAAACAAAATGGCTACCCCAATGGTCAGCCCCTTACTCCAGTTTTGGACCAGGTCAGACGAATCATTTCCACCAGTCCTTCATAAGAGTTTAATACTGTTGAGAAGCAATTCTTCCGTCTTCTCATCTCAATACAGTAACACATTTCAACATAAAAGAACCAAAAGAAAAACGTACAAATAATTTAAATAGGTCTAGCAACCGTTACGTTCATGGTTTAGTCAGCTTAATAACTGTACATTGGCTCCTGGGAATCCACTTCACTAGTTTGGCCAGCTTGTGTCGGGGAAGGTTCCTGCTCCGTTTGTTCTGTGGGCGTGTCCTCCTCCGTGGGGGGCGGAGTTTCACCCACGGTTACTGCCCTCCAAGTCAGGGGTCCCTCTGTGGCGATTTGACCCCCGAGGGGAGCTATGGAGTTCACAAAGGTGGTGAGGTTAATGAAGTGTGCTACGGGGTGCGAGCCAGCGGCCTCCTGAGACGCGCTGATGGCCAGCTCAGCTGGCCGGTTGTGGAGCACGGCGCTGCCGCTCACTGCATCGAAAGTCACAGTAAGGATGGAGCTGTCCAGTTGGAGCTGGCGGTCGGAGCCAGTCAGGTGACCCACAGCGACTGGCTGCAAGCTGGCAAACTGGGCACCCGCTGTGGTGGTGATAGGAGTCACGGTGATATTGGTCAGCCCCACAGTGCAAGATGGGGTGGGGACGTTCCCATCACTAATTGTCACCACGACCTGCAACCAGAAACAAAATTAACAGAGGGGAGCCAAACAACTTTTCACTGACTTATCTAAATTGTCTTTTTAGCACATATCAAAAAGGTAAAAACATTTTTTAACTTATGTCTCCTATGTTTTTATTTGTAAAGATTAAAATAATCAGCTTTTTATAAATTTTTTAAGCAAATGCATTTATTGAAAATATTTGAGCAGTGGTATAGGTAACGCGTCTCATCAAAGTCAGGAATTAACATCAATGATCTAGGCAACTAAATGTATATAGCAATTGCAACTAGAGCTGCAACAGTTAATCGATTTAGTCGATTAAAATCGACGATTGAAAACGTTGGCAACTTTTTCGATCGTCGATTCGTCGGCTATCAATTGATTTCCCTGTTCGGTGCTGTTCCGGGCTCCACATGCGGCCTGAGCCACACGTCACACGCTGCGGCCGCCGTGCCCACGGCACAGGCCGCGTAAGCCACGCCCACCGCACAGGACGCTGAAGCCGCGCACGCCGCTGCTCTACTTCCTGACGCGATCTCCCTCACTCGTACCTCCTCTCGCTGTCTACAGTCTACTTATAACCCGTCCGCTCTGCTCACTGCAGTCAGAGACTCGGGACTCGGCGGCAGAGGACGGAACCAGAGGAGAGAGGTAAGTGCAGGGGGGAGGGGAGGACTGCACACTGTTTACATGTGATCTCGGCGACATCGCCGAGATTTTTCATGTAAATGAAAAATCGGCTGCCTCACTCTACATTCAGTCCTGCTTGTACAAAGCAGGACTGTATGTAGAGAAGGCAACTTCCCCACAAGGACACCGCTGCCGCCCCTCTGCGCCCCGAGGCCAGGCCTCGGTGGCCTTGTGTGAAATCCGGGCCTGGTCATCCCTATTACAGTAATTGGACAGCACAGGTTATTTTAACCCTAACCGCAGCCAATAGTAAATAAAAGCCCGGCTGCATTATAGTCAAATGGGCTTTAAAGTTAAACTACAACCTTTATTTTGCTGGGGAAGGGTTAGGTTTTTTTGGGGGGTCATGGTTTTTTGGGGGTTTGTGTTTTTTTGTTTTAGAGCAACTCTGACTCTATTATTCAGAACACTTAAAGAAAAAACAAACAAACAAAGAAAGCCACAATTCTGATGGGTGCTGTTGGTTTCTGCAGTTTGTACATCATCGCTGTTCTCAGTATTGCTGTGTAGACTGTGTAAGTGTGCGTAGCCAATCAGAATGGTGGCAGAGAGATGAATGATCAGGACCCATGAACTTCTCACCTGCTGCAGAGTCTCCACAGCAGAGCCGTCTTCCTCCTCCGCAGCTCCGCTAGTGAACTCAACCTCCTTGCTGCTGTACTGGCTGAACTCAGAGTCCTCGTGCGTTACTCCTTCCTCCTCGCCATCCTTGTCCTCTTCTACGTGGGTTCCGGCCAGCCGCAGTGATTTATCTGACTGGATCTCTTCATCGTCCTCGTCCTCCAGAAGCGGCTACAAACAGACACAAAGACATCAGTCACACCACAGACAGGATAAGTCTACACTGGCCGGCAGATTCTTATAATCTGTAGTAGTGGTTAGCGCCTCTGCCTTGCAGCACTGGGGGTCCCTGGTTCTAATCCTGGCCAGGTCACTATCTGCAAGGAGTTTGCATGTCCTGCCTGTGCTTGTGTGGGGTTTCCTCTGGGTACTCCGCTTTCCTCCCACACTACAAAGACATGCTGGAAGGTTAATTGGCCCTGAATGCGAGATGGGGACCTTAGATTGTAAGCTGCTTGAGGGCGGGGACTGATGTGAATGTGCAACTATGTAAAGTGCTGTGTAAATTGTCGGCACCATATAAATATATGTAATAAATAAAATCTCTCGAATGAAATCCCATTAACTTTAACAAGCTGGCACTTAAAGCATATCTAAAACCTCCAACAATGATCTGTTCCATTTGGTATGTAAAATATATTGTACGCTTTTTTTGTGTGACATCTGTTTGACTAGTTAAAAAAAATACTTGTTGATCCTGCCAGAAATCTTGTGAAACGATAACTTCCTGTGCTCTGCATCTGTGCTGACTGTTATCGGAAGCATTGTACCTTGCTCTCTCTAATGACTGGCACTGGTATCTGAAAAGTATCGGTGAATCCCTAAAAAAAACTAATACAGCCACCACCTCTAAGGATTGGTATGCTTTGATATATACATTTTTTGCCTCCTTTCTGAAGACCTGAAGGGCCTAATGATTCTGCACACCTAATATACTGCGGATTTCTAGACCCTCAATTGCCTTCAATGTATGTGACTGATTTAATAC